AGTGAACCACATCCAGCTAGAGTTAGGTAATTTGCATTCTATTTTCAGATCCAAGTTTTTTCTCTGAACAGCACTAAGTCTCTTTTGGTGGCCAGTGTGTGAACAGTTCTTTGCCATTCCTCAGTTTTTGCATGTTTTTTCTTTCACGGAGTCCACCCTGTGTAAATGGCTCTTAGTCACCCATCTCAAGACTTGGCTTCTTACTTTGAATTGTGGAATCAATCAAATTTTTTAATATTTGGGGAACAGACTCAATGTGAAATTATCCAGCAAGAAGAAGGGAGTCCGGGTAATATTTGGAAAAATGAGTATCACACATGGAGGTGGCGCGGCGGTAACAGCACTGGCTTCAGTTGGTGGTGGGGACCCGAGTGGGGCGCCGCGAAGGGTCGGTCTCGGCAGGTTAGGCTTCCAAGTACCGGAGGCAGCGGAGAAGCGGTGGACGCCGTTCGCTCTCCGGCCACGGAAACTTCCCGTGGAGCCCCTTTCCCGGCAGGACACCTGCCCCGCAGCCTCCGGACCTGTTTGCTTTTCTTCTAGGGAGGGGTTCGCCCCCCTCCCCACTCCCCCACCTCCGATCCTCCCATCCTCGCCCGCCCGCCCCGGCGGCTCCAGGCGGCGCAGTGAGGGGCCCACGCGCGCTCGGCATCAGAGATCCGCGGCGGAGCCCAGCGCTGGAGGTGCGGGACCCTAGGAGCAGACACAACCAGACTTGCCTGTGAGGACCTTCCAGAACCCTCTCCGGGTGGGCCGGCTAGAGCGTCATCGGACTGACCGGCTGTCCACTTCTGGCTTCCACGTCTCAGCAGAAACGCGAGGGCCAGGTAAGTGTAAGTCCTAACTCTGATTACCTTCTGGGGTCAAGGATATCCCTAAAGGAGCGCTGGGGTCCTATAGGAAGGGCATGGAAGTTTAGGCAGGAGGTGGAGGTTGGGAGGGGTGATACCATCCCCGTTTTTCCTTTCCCTTGATGTTTCCTTTTTTTTTTTTTTTTTTTTTTGAGTAGGAGTCTCACTCTGTCGCCCAGACTGGAGTGCAGTGGCCGCTCCCGGCCACCGCAGCCTCGACCCGCTGGGCTCCGGCGATCCTTCCGCCTCAGCCTTCCGAGTAGCCGGAGTTACAGGCGCGCGCTACCACGCCCGGCTAATTTTTTGATTTTATTGTAGAGATGAGGTCTCGCCTGCCCAGGCGGGTCTCGAACCCGCGGGCTCAGGCCATCCACTCACCTCAGTCTCCCAAAGGCGCGGGATTACAGACTGAGCCACCGAGCCCGGCTGATATTTCCTTTTTTACTGAAGATTACTGATCTTTATCTCCCCAGAACAGTCAGTTATTACCAGTCCTGCCTCTATAAAACTCAACCACCTATCTAAAGCGGCAGGTCCCTTGGAAACTCCAAAGTTGTTAAGGAATAGACACCTTTCTTTAAGCATTTGCTCCTTTTCCACCAGAAGGGCTCACTCACTGGTAGGAGTAGATGGTGAATGGGAAGGAGGCAAAACCAAAGGCTTTAAGACTTGTTGCAACAGGGACACAGCATTTAAAACTCACTGACATGAAATGAACAATGCTGTTTTCAAAGAAAGGCCAGAAGCTGAAATAGAGAGAGACTTCCTACACACCCTTTAGTGAATATTTTCAACGAGTTATTGGGCAAACAGTTATGTCTTATATGTAGCATCCTGGAAAGTTTCCTTCTCCTCCTTGCCTTCCACACTCTAGTCCCCAACTAACAAGTGTAGACAAGTGTGTGGTTTATAGCATGATTTCTGAGATTTTTCACTGGGAAAAAATTCCTGGAAGATGTTGTGCTTGACAAGATGTCTCGCTTTATTAAGGCCAAGCTGTCACAATATTGTTGAAAAAAGCCCCACAGATTTGTGGGGGTTTGGGGGTGGGGGTGGTGGCACTATGAAACCTTTTCCCTATTCTGCAAATAAATATTTCTATAACCGTGTATCTAAAGATTCACTTGTTCAGGAAAATTGTACTATTCATAGTTGTCTTTAAAATGCCTTAAATAATGGTAAATATCTCATTTTGCTTTAAGAAAAGGGTTTTACCTTCTCTGCTTACTTTTTCTTCATGTACTTTTGAGTTTTTAATGTGACTACTTTTTTTGTGTACTCTCTTTCCTCTTCCACTTTTCTAGAAGCGCTGTCATAAAATGGTACATTTTCTGCTTGGCTAATGCTTTAGCCTGGCTGAAGGCCAGTGACATGCTTTAGAACAGCTAATAGTGTCCATATGCTAATAACTTTCAGATCAATAACTACTGCTGCAGATAAATTTTAAATAAAAGGGCTCTGAAATATAGAAAAAAATAAAAGGACTGGGAAGAAAAAGCAAAATAAGTCACTAAATCAAGGATACTCTACCTCCTAATATCTTTCCATCTCATGCTCACTCTCAATTTAATGTCCTACAACCTCCAAACTCCAATCTCTTAGAATCTTGTTAATTCTGTTAATGGCTTGTCAGGATTGAGTAATTATACTCTGAAAAATCAGTTTCTCTCTTAGATTAAGGGAAAGGGCACTAGCTAACAGATGTATACTTCAAGATCTGAATGGTTTGTTTCAGCTTTTTCTAATTACTAAGGAATGGAGGCAAATGTGGGAAAAGGCTGAGACTCCTTGGAATATTATATTTGAAATTTATGCAGAGGGAAGTGGAATATATCAGTATACCAAATACGTAAGTACATGGAAACTCTCATGTCTCTCTGTATAATAAAGCATGGAAATGGGGTGGTGAGAGACCGAGAGAAAGGGAGAGAAAAAAGAGAGAAATGCGAAAGGGGGGGCTGAGTGAGGGAGAGAAAACCTTGAGGTAGAAAGGTTTGCTTATGGGGTATATTGACTGACAATTTAAAATGTTATAGTCAGGAATTGACTTAACAGGGTCTTAGGACAAGTTTCTTGTATAAGCAGTTTTCTGACTAAGAACAGAAAATAAGTATAAGGATGCTGTGTCATAGCAAAGAATCCAGCATAGACAGCTGTCATCGGTAAAGGAAAGGATCAAAATTATACTTTGTATTTTTGTAGCACTGATAATTCAGTAAAATTGTGCTTCACTTTAGCTTCTTATTTGTTCTGCTAAATTGTTGAGATTAAATGATGGTGAAGGTCCAGGTTCTGTCCTCAAAAAGATTGCAGTGGTGGATGAGTGAAGGAGAAGAATCACAGTGTGGCATGTGGTATGTGCAATACTCGAAGTGAGTATCGGAAGGTGGCTTGAGAGGCTTCTCAGTTCAGAACGGGGAGGGTAGAGAGGCACGAGAAAGGCTGAGTTGTTGCTACAATTGGGAGCGGGGCCATCTGACAGACAGGGGAGATATACTGGGATGACAGAAGAGATGAGGGTAGAGGAGTATGAAAGGATAAGTTCAAGAAAAGTCTTGAATACCATACCTATGGAGTTGAGATTGTCCTCTATAGGCTGGTGTTATCAACCTGTGGGAGCAGACCCTCCCTTTAGTGGAAAAGCAAATTAATGAAAACATTTATGCATGCTATTAGCAGATCATGCAAAACTGAATTTATGCAAGAGTGTAAAATGGGAGGAATTTAATGCAGAGAATTGGTGGCACAAGTGTTAGAGGTCAAGCAAGGGATGCTAAGACTACCCAGGGATTAGCAAGAGTGGGGGAGTCATTACTATTTCCATCTGGAGGCACACAGGGAAAAGTTAGTGTGACCAAGGCCCAGGGACCAGGAGCATGCATTGGAAACTGAATCACAATAGATCTGTCCTATGGAAGCCAGAGCTTCAGAAGATTTGCTGAGGCGCTGCCAAGAGAAGGGGGAAGCCACTATGGCTGCTGCCCTCTACCTGCCAGTGCCTCCCACTCACCAAACCTAGCCAGACAACTTGGGAGCCTGGACAGGTGGTCTGCGAGAGTCAGCTCTCCTGTGGTGAGGGCAAGGGGGAAGGGATACAGAGGCCAGATGGGTGAGGAGTGGAGAGCTGGGACGCATAGCCTGGCATTGTAGACTGAATAAATAAGACTCTGCCTATCAATGGAGATAGATGAACTAAAACCAAATTATTATGAAACTATCATGTCTAACTAAAAACAAATTCATTTAAAAGAGATTCTGAATTAGTAGTGGCAGCCTTTTGGGATTATGAATATACTTGGCAGATATTACCACTAGCCACGATATTGGGATCTGAGTGCTTTATAGACTGAAAAAAGGAAACTTACATCAGAAAACAATATATTGTTTTAAGCATGCTGGAGACTGACAGTGAGGAAAATAATATGATCACATTTGACTTTCAGAAGAAACATTTTTCTGCCAGAGTAGGCTCTGTTCAGTAAAATGTGAGAGTCTTAAGCAGAGGAGCCACCCTCTTGTCTTTTCACCCAGCAAAAATCCTAGTTCATGACATAGGTTTTTAAATGTTTGATGAATGAATGTTTGAATAAACATAAGCACAGCGATGGTAAAGTCACATGTGGCATCTAGTACATTGTCAATTATATCAGTTAGATGAGTGAATGAATAAATAAATAAAAGTAAAGAGGAAGGAAAGTAAGTGTGAAGACTTTTAATTAAGGTAGGAAATTGAGAACAAAGCCAGTGTTGTAGAAATTATGAGAAGACAGATGGGATATATCAGGGAATACTAGTCTGAGGATTCTCTTAAGTGTGGGGGCTCAAAAAAGATTTCAGGAAGCATAGGATGCTCTATGTTAGTAAAGTTTGTTTCAGATCATTCAGATAAGCAACAGGTCTGCACAGGCTACCTGTTTTTAATACTATTTCCTGCTCAAGAAAAAAATGACTATGAAACAAAATCTGCTTAGTTTATCTTAGATGTTTTATACTCCTAAAGTTTAGGTAGCAGGCAATTGATTTTAATATTTTTCCCTTTTCTTTACAACTTGTTGCTGTATATTTATAAATTTAAGACTGTCAAGATATGGAAGAAAACTTTCCTTTTTAACTACCTTGAAATTAATTTGATGAATCTATATCAGCTATAAAATTGATAAAATTAATAATATTCATCCCAATTAAAATGAATCCTTTGGTAGCATTCACATTTGAATTGTGTTTATACTATAGGTGTTAAATTTTACCAGTAAACATTTCAAAGACTTTATTAAATTGATCCATATTTTTGAATGGACTTATGAAAAGTCTTGTTTTATTAAAATGTTATACCATATGCAATTTTAGAGGGCCGAGGATATTTTGAGCCCCAACTAAAATTAAACCAGTGCATTTGTGAAATTGCTTTGCTTTGCTCTTGCATTTTCTTTGTTCTGTATTTGCTCTCTCTCTCTCTCTCTCTCTCTCTCTTTTTATTGTAGATTCTTGTGCTAGTTGCAGGTCAATAGGAACTCTATTGAAAATGGGCCCAGTCAGTGCAGAGGCTGATGAGAACCAGACCGTGGAAGAAATGAAGGTGGAACAGTATGGGCCAGGGCAAACCACTCCTAGAGGGGAACTGGTCCCTGACCCTGAGCCAGAGCTTATAGACAGCACCAAGCTGATAGAGGTACAGGTTATCCTCATATTGGCTTATTGTTCCATCATCTTGCTTGGGGTCATTGGCAACTCCTTGGTAATCCATGTGGTGATCAAATTCAAGAGCATGCGCACAGTGACCAACTTTTTCATTGCCAACCTGGCTGTGGCAGATCTTTTGGTGAACACCCTGTGCCTACCATTCACTCTTACCTACACCTTAATGGGGGAGTGGAAAATGGGCCCCGTTCTATGCCACCTGGTGCCCTATGCACAGGGCCTGGCAGTACAGGTGTCCACAATCACCTTGACAGTGATTGCCTTGGACCGGCATCGGTGTATTGTCTATCACCTAGAGAGCAAGATCTCCAAGCGCATCAGCTTCCTGATTATTGGCTTGGCCTGGGGCATCAGTGCCCTGCTGGCAAGTCCCCTGGCCATCTTCCGGGAGTATTCGCTGATTGAGATCATTCCAGATTTTGAGATTGTGGCCTGCACTGAGAAGTGGCCCGGTGAGGAAAAGAGCATGTATGGCACTATCTACAGTCTTTCCTCCTTGTTGATCCTGTATGTTTTGCCTCTGGGCATCATAACTTTTTCCTACACTCGTATCTGGAGTAAACTGAAGAACCATGTCAGCCCAGGAGCTGCTAATGATCAGTACCATCAGCGGAGGCAAAAAACCACTAAAATGCTGGTGTGTGTGGTGGTGGTGTTTGCGGTCAGTTGGCTGCCCCTCCATGCCTTCCAGCTCGCTGTGGACATTGACAACCAGGTGCTAGACCTGAAGGAATACAAGCTAATCTTCACGGTGTTCCACATCATCGCCATGTGCTCCACCTTCGCTAACCCCCTTCTCTATGGCTGGATGAACAGCAACTACAGAAAGGCTTTCCTCTCCGCCTTCCGCTGTGAGCAGCGGATGGATGCCATTCACTCTGAGGTGTCCGTGACATTCAAGGCTAAAAAGAATCTGGAAGTCAAAAAGAACAGTGGTCCCAATGACTCTTTCACAGAGGCTACCAATGTCTAAGGAAACTGAGATGTGAAAATATATGTATGACTTCTGACCCGAGCTACAAATCTGGTTGAGAAAGGCTCACAAGTGCATCTCGATGTCCCGTTTTAAGGAAGACAGAATCTATGAATGGAAGCATCTGCAGTTCAATCCCTGAAAATAACAGATTGGCTGAGCCTAAGTGAAAATACTCCAGTTCAAAGATAAAGCAACAAAATGGTTTGTTTACGGTTGCTTGGATGGTAGGTTGAATTATGAGTACAAACAGAGAGAAATACTTTTGGCCATTTTCTCAGAGTGGGGAAACAAACAAAAACAAAAACTCAAACAAGGAATTGGCATTTTCAACATTGCTAAAAGATGGTAAGTAAAATGAATTAACTTCTAAGTCACATTAAGACCTGGACTGGAGTTGCTGTGCAATTCACTGCTCTCCCTCAGCTGTTGAAAAGGCCACTAAACAGAAATTTCTCTAGGAAGCCACAGGCTCTTCTTCATTGTATTTTGATTGTACTGTTCTTCCTATAGACAAAATCTGTCTATAACGCTGCAGGTAAATGTCATCAACTATTTGAATTGCTTCCAATAAATAAACTGAAATTTGCCATATAATTAATATTTTGGCTAATGATGGGGAAAGTCCTTAACATTCAGTGAGCCAGTTCTTAAAACCAAATGCACGTTTGGTGAAAGTTTCTTCACCCAGAATCAAAGGCTAAAATTCTCGGAATTGCAAGAAAAGCAAACCGTCATTTAATTTCTCCTTTCAAATTATTCCTGCTTTATAGAGATACTATTTAGATATTATGCATACAATTTAATAATTGTCATCACTGCTAATCATTATACCTTTTGAACATGTATGATTTCTGTTATTCCTGTTGGAATTAAGTTTGTACTATAAATTCAATCAAGTTGGCAAACAATTTTTGTGGCACTTTGTACATTTTTTTGGTTATTTATAAGCAATTTTTGCACAGGTACAGAACTCTAATTTATTTACAGATCACTATAGTATAACTTTGAAATTCATCTTCTGTGGCCCCATTCACAATAAATAAAACAGTATAATTTCATGAATATGTACCGTCTGGTAACAATAACTAAAACCATTGGATACATTCCACCTTGCAAATGTTCTGATTCAAGTAGTTTCATGTAAGTCATTATCCTCTTTTCAAAACAATTAGCTATATATTTATTACATGAATATATACATAATAAAATTGTACCTATAAATAGGAGAACACAGATGCTATGGTATTTTTCACTTAATGATTTTATGAATATAATTTTAATTCAGTAGTACCCAACCAAAGATGCTTAAAACTCTTCTATGTTCATGAGAAACAATTGAGATTTTAAAATATTGGTACTTCCTTTGGATGCTGTTAAAGTTTCATTGTAGTCATGTTTTTGTATATGACGGAATTTGTGAATATATTTTTAAAACTTGAAATAAATTCAACTTATATATTGTATTTAGTTACAACATTCATGTTAATAACTGGAGAACTTCATTTTATGGATATATTTACAATACCTACTATGAATCTTATTAAATCTCTTCCTTGCTAGAAATAAGAGACTAGTTTTTTTTTTTTTTAAGAGTATTGCACTTTCAGAACACTGAAAAAGAATAAAAACAATAGGAGTTACATTAGGTGGGGAACAGATTAAGGAGTCAACAAAAATATCTGTAAAATATTATGTAACCGAAGATTTCATTTTTCTGTTAGACCAAGCATAGCTGTCCAAAAATAAGCCTTTTGTCTTTTAAATAGCAGTTACTTTGTTTTAGATGCTAGTAGAAAATTATGGTTAAATTGGATAATTCTTACACTGTAAAAATGTATGTACTACTTTGTCACCTGTAGTAGTAAATTATTAGAATTTAACTGATGATTCAGTTAACATGTATTTGGTCCAGTTCATTATGTCAATTCATGAATAAAACATCTTTGATGTAGTGAGTTTGTTATTGAAATAAAAGAATTTGGGAAATTATGTGGAATTTTATATCAGAGTTCCTGTCTCAGACAACACAATAAGACTTTGATGCAACTAAAGAATAAAAATAAGGTGACTCCTCCACAGCTCAGCTCTCTTTTCATTTTATACCTGAGCCTGAGTCAATGGATCTGCTACCACAGCTGTACTTATAATCCATACTATGAGGTTGCTCAAATCTTTATTTTCAGACCAAACCTTCCTTCTGTACTTCAAACCTGTATCTCTCCTGGCTGATATAACATGTCTATGTGGGTTTCTCTCCAGCATACATGAGACATTCCAGCATGTCTCAAGCATAGCCTGACATTTCTCTGCACACCCCACCCCACCTCACCCCACCTCCACTTGGCCTTTTTGTATTCCCTGTTTCAATGATGGCACTACTCTACACCCATTTCTCAAAAGCCTAACACTTTGGAGTCACCTTGACTCTTCTGTCTCTTTATTTCACATATCCAATTAATTGTCACATCTTGTTCTAACTTCTGGATGTTTTCTGAATTAATTCACTTTTCTCCATCTCCGTGATCCAGGCTATGCTTGTCTTCCTTGACCGCTAAAACCTTTTCTGTGGATTAATGTAATTTCGTTCAAATTGATTTCTCTATATCTTGTCCTCTTCCCATCCAATTCAACTTTTATCTACTATCCAGAGTGATTTTTCAAAAACTTAGATTTTGTCAAATCACTGTTCTTATGGAAATTCTTTGATGTCTCCTCATAATTTTTATAATAAACTCAAAATCTTTTTGTGACATGGAAAGCTATTTAGTCCCTAACTGTTACCTATATGTTTTATCCCATGCAAATTCTCTTTCCCAGCAATATTTGCTGCTAAATTGTAAAGATCATGAAGGTGGGAACAGGGACTCTTTTACTATTTTACTGTCGTAATTTTTCAGAATTCCTGGAATTGAGGTAGTACTCAGAAGTGAAGTAAATATTAAAGTCAGATTTTCAAGATAGATTTGGAAGGCTGTAAATCAGAATTTTTTCCTATTTTATCACACGTCCAGGAAAGTAAGGTTTTAGCTATATGGGAGTCCAGTAAAGATGCATATTTGTTCAGAATCAGATTTGTTTTGTTTTTTGAAGGCCATTTAAGGTAGATATTTGCATAAGTATAAAGGGCTGTATATCTAGAATTTACTGTTCATGAAGAATGATCTAGAATTTTGTCAACAAGGAAGAAGGGAAAAATTGGTCAAAATTCAAATAGCTAAAGAAACCATTGTAGATATTTCTAGCAGAAAGCTATTTAACACGAGTTAAAATCTTATAAAACCACTGGAAGGGTTAGAGAAGTGAAAGTTAGGAACAGTCTCCATGAGCATTAAAAAAAAAGAACCCAGAAAGTGCAAAATGGCAAGAAACAACTATTAATGTTGACAACACCAACATTAATGATGAATAGGAAAATACACAGATGTGTGTGTTGAAATCTTATTCCATCTTACTACACGTTCCTGCCCATTTCAACCTAGATTAAGTAATACTTTTGCTTCTATTCTGTTTTCCAAAATGCAAGTGTCTCTTGTTTGCAGGTTGCAATTCTAACCTTGCTGACATGAGTTTCGGAAATGTCGCTCTTAGGTTTCCAACTTCCAAGATATATGGGAGAGCATGGAGGGGAAAATACGATGCTTCAGTTACTATAAGACAATCTGGCAATTTTGAGGATTGCCCAAATGGTGTAATTTCTGGTTTCAACCACATTCTTTTCTTCTTAGTACCTCTTTAGTTTCTTCAGAATTACAGTGATGTGGGGTGACTATATCTTTTTTCCTTTTTTCTCTTATCAAGACCTCTGTGTCAAAAATACTACTTATAACTGTCCCAATTAGTACAGGTAGACTGAAGATTAAATTATAAGGAAAGACCATTGTTTTCTATGATAAGTTGATTAGAAGGAAGGAAGAAAGGGCAATACCTAATGATGATACCAGAACTGGAACAATTATCTAAAATCCACAAAGTAATTCTGGACTAGTTTTCTAGGACAAGAAAAGGCAATGATAATATCTCAGGAACAAAACAGTCTTTAGAATTTTCTAGTTGATAAGAGATGAAAAAAATATATGTAATATGGTAGCAAGAGACAACAGGTTTATTTTTTTCTTGACAAATAATTTAAAGAAACAACACAAAGATAATGGAGAATGTGAACAACTTCATGATTATGTCTCAAAAGTAAGAATTTTATTAAACAAAGGGTTACTAAGGATTGATTTTTGAAGATTTATGAATGACACTTGCCTGTTAGACCACTGACCTTTTTCTGCCTTGCAACACTGGACAGATGTTCACAGACTCTGCAAGTTCCCATTGGTATGGAAGAGGTTTTAAGAAGAGTAGCCTGCAGGTTATGGCAAACACATAATTTTATCTATAAAATTTTTATTTTCAGCTCGTCCTTGCCAACTCAAGAATGGAAGTACGTAAAAATGCTTAACCTGATCTATTCTCTTTAGAGCAAATGATGAGCAAGTAATTGAAAATTTTCAACAGTTTAACAAATTACTAGCAAAACACCACATGACAGATTAAGACAAAAGGATGCTTTGTGACATTAAAATTTAAAAGTAGCATAATATCTTCACAACAAATAAAGGAAAATGATAGCAAGTTAATAATTATTTAAATTTATTTTTGCCCTTCTCATAGAAAAATAACATGAATTATAAAAAAGAAGTACATGTATGTGTATACACACATATTTAATTACAAACAAAAATATCTTCTCGATGTACATCTCATCTAATATCACACATTAACTGTGTACAGAACATCCAAACATCTAAAAGTGGTGATTAGTCTTTTTCCAAATGACGTGCTCATTTCCATCATTGTCCCTACAGAAGTCACTATCACTGGGCTGTGGTTAGAGAGAGAAGGAGAATGCACTCTAGAATGTAAACTAAATAACTTGAATATAAGCAGTTTGAAAAAACACTGCTGAGTGTAGCCTATTTCCCTCAACCAGTTCATACTCAAAGACAACAGATATCAAACTGCTGCTTATCATTTTGAACGCCAACATATTCAAAAATTATTAATATCCACCAGATAGAATAAATTATGTTCTGCTTCCATGGGCAAGTAAGAATCGTGTTTCCAGAATGCAGCTGAGGAGAAAGATACAGAAGGATTCAAGTGATAACTTAGGGTTAACACTGCAGAATGCATTGTGCATATTACGTTGGAACCAAATACCACCAGCCAAAATAGATCTGCAAAAATATCTGATACCATCAGGCAACCATATTGAGGTTTGCAACAGCAAGATCTAGTAGAATAGAGATAAAGTAGTT